ATATAGATAGATAGATAGATAGATAGATAGATAGATAGATAGATAGATAAAAGCTTGCTGCTACAGGGAAGTTTTCCAGGCCTCTGAGAAGTGAGGAAGAGGTGGAAGGAGAGCCATAGGAGTTTCAGGGAGGCATCCCCTCCATCCTCCCCTTCCCCTCCTAACACAGTCTTGAGCCTGAGAATTTCGCCTCATGACTTCCAGGCCTGGGCATTAGTAGTTCATCACAAAGCAAGTACATGAAGCAAGTGCATGCTCCTGGACAGACTACCTGGTGGGCTTCTAGAAACATTCAGGTGTGGTGAATTAAGGTGCAAGGACTCCATCTTGAAAACGCAGAGTGTGTTCTAATGTCTGTGTGTAAACAACACTCCACTATCAGAGCGGTTATCTCAGGTGCACAAGAGCGCCTTCCTTGTAAATTATTCTAAGATGAAGTGTGTGTGTGTGTGTGTGTGTGTGTGTGTGTGTGGTGCGGTGTCCTGGAGGCTGGAGGTCAACTTGGGTGTCTGTCTCAATCACCTCCACCTTATTCTTGGGTCTCTCACTGACCCTGGAACTCACTGACTAGGTTTGACTGCTTTCCCAGTGCCGGGATTACAGATGTGTGCCACCAGGCTTCTCAGAAGAGCGCCGGGGATCTGAACTCAGATATTCATTTTCCTGAGGCCAGCACTCTGTCAGCTGAGCCTTCTTCCTAGCTCTCAGGTTTGTTTTCATGAGCATTTCCAAATCCTTTGTGAGCTCTCGTGTTCATGACCTAGGCATAGTGACATCCTCTCTTTTCTTTGCTCTTTCCCGGGTGCTTTCCTGAGGCTAGCTAACACACTAAGAGTACAGAAGGGTCGGTTTCAGATTCACCGTGTCCTTTGGTCACCAGCAGATTAATTTGGTGGACAACTCAAAGGGGAAGAATTTAGTTGGATCACGCTTCATGACTGCCATGGCACAGCTCAATACCACCCGGTTCTGAATTTATACACTATTTATAATTTGGAGTTCATTAGTGCTGCAGACAGGAAGCCGGAAACTGTCTCAAGTGGGTGGGTCGCTTTCACCAGGCTGTCTAGTCGGGAGCATTTCCCACCATGCCTGGGTGGCTGCTGCGATGCTGGCCACTGCAAGCATTCAGATGCAGAAGGGAAGATACCTTTGATCCTGGATGGCTTGTTTGTAAAGATTTTCTAGTTTTGACCATCATAGCCACAATCATACCTTAAACAAACCGTCACAAAGAACCCTTGCAAAGATTCGGGGCACTGTGACTTTAGGACACCAGCTTCACCTCCGCTTTCCGGGATCTGTGACAACGAATATGTGGAGACTAGAAATAACATCTGCTTTATTAAAAGATATTCCGAGAGCCTGTGGCGTTCTCCTTGGTGGGCCATGCATCTCACCCTTCGGTGAGTAAATGGAGGAAACATCTGTCCATCTATCCAGCTGCTGTGGACTAACTGTGCAAGCGGTTAGCCACCAAGCAAAGCAACTTTCCGAAGCCACCCTCTGCCTCTGTTATTTTCTAGCCGGAATCCCTACTACATAGCCTGTAAACATAACTGACGGGTGCAGGGGCTTGGTGCTTAAGAAGTCTAAACGCACCGATGAAATTAACCATACTGAAACGTGGCCAAAGCCGAGTCCATTCTCTTATTGAGGAATTATGGAGATATTTACTTGTCAGTACATTAAGTCTGCAGCCACATTAGTAGTCTCCGTGTCTTTAGATTTTGCAAACGGGAACTGAAATCCAGCAAGCCGTATCAGGAGCCCATTCAAAAAGTGAACAAAAAAGCAAATGAAGACCACCCAGAAGGACGTGGTGTAGTTTTCATTTTGCGTCTTGTAGGCATAGGTCCCTTCTTTAAAGTTTGCGATGTTTTCCGACAGGCGGTGGATTTTCACTTCAGAGGCAAACAATATCATGACAAGACAGCCACAGGAGCCTGCAACACAGGGAACAAACGACACGTTAGCACAAACATCACCTGATTGTCAGGGTCCCGAGAGAACATCAAGGAGCAAAGCAAAGACAGCATGTCAAGCACCATCCCCATTTGCATTCTTCTCCAAAATAATACTGCTGGAAAAAGGCGGTCATGATTCTCCAATCCGTGATTGGTCGCACTTGGGGTGTGGCCATAACCAAGGCAGGTTCGTGCAGGGAGGGGACACTGATGGCTTGAACAGAAGAGTTAGAATCAAGCTGACCTCGCTGCACCTTCAAAGCACGGTGACAAACTTTGACTGCTAAGCAGCCACTGTGGCTTCAAGGGAACACATTCCTCTATACTTCACAGGGGACACAAGATGCTTAATTGACAATAATCTTATTTGAGGGAATAAGTGTGAGTCACTATGGAGGTGCTGGGTATTGAACCTGGGTCCTCTGCAAAAAAAAAACAGCAAGCATTCTTAACCACTGAGTCACCTCTCCAGCCCTGTCTCCTTCTTAATCAACAACTGCTGTCTCACACCACAAAATCCTCACTATATCCAAAGCCATAATAAAGTGTCTTATCCCCTCAAATAAGATGGTTGTCGATTTGGCATACAACTCTTTTTATTCTTTGATTTCAGTTACTTCAAATACTATGGGAACAGCAACATAGTGGTCTCAGTTCCCTTTCATTAATCCACTCATTCTTTTTTTTTTTTTCAGTTAGACATAGTATAAGGCAGGCACAGGGATAACAATGAACATGATGAGTTCCCGTAGTGTAGCAGCAATGATAATCTCATCGAGGTGAGTGACAGACACAACAGGGAAGGCAGGGCACTATTGCTGAGGGCCAGGCAGCATCCTCAGGGGTACCTATAGGAAAAGCTGGCTCACAAAGGGAGGCTAGGCTGTGTGGGAGGAGACAGCAAGTGTGAGCACAGGTCCCCACAGCCTCTCCAAAGGCAGCCTGGACTGTAGCACAGATAGACTGATAACTGATGGCTAGGAAGAGGAGCCGGCATGGACAGGGAAGGTGCTTTGGGACTTCACAGAAACACAGCTGTCATCCTGCCACTTGCGAGGTTGAGGCAGGAGGATTTCATGAAAAAAAAAATAAAGGAGAAAGAGGCAGGCAGACAGAAGGGGACAAAGCGAGGAGGGAGAGAAGAAGGGGAAGAGAAAGAGGAAGAGAAAGAAAAGAAAGAAAGAGAGAGAGACAGAGAAGAGAGAGAGACAGAGACAGAGACAGAGACAGAGAAAGAGAAAGAAAGCCTTCCACCCAGGGCTGGTTCCATCAAATCGGCCATCAGCATACCACACAAATAGCCAAAGGCTATCGCTTTCCTGACACTTCGCTTCCCACCCTCCTCAGCTTGGCCGCTGAGAAGATTTCTTTGTGAGATTTGTCAGCCTAACTATTTTCGTATTCCCAGCTTCAAACCAGAGCTCTCCCCCTGCAAGCTATATCATTCCCTTATTGTTAGATGCTAACAAAAAGGCCGCGATGCTGTTTGCTCTTTATCTTTTATTTGAAAATTGTAGCGAAAATGCCATCGCTGTTACTATAAGAGCTTTCTTTGTCTGAGGAGATGGTGGGTTTCAGACAGGAGAGAAACACGATTTCCTCGGTGCCTGAAAGGAAAATTCGAGTTCGGTTTCCTTTTTGGGTCGTTAAATATTTTAAAGGGATCCTTTGTTAAAGGGACAGTGTCTCCGCGAGCCTGCTTTTCAGATAAGTCATCCGCACATCTTGAGACACGAACTGGGTCTCCCCATGAAGATCCCGAGAAGCCGGACAGCGTATGTGGCTAAGAGAGTGATCTGGAATTCCCCTCGAGATTCTGGGTTTGAGGGTTTGACCACAGTGAACTTTCTCATCTTGAAGTCAGAGGACGGAGCCTGAGGCGGAGCCCTGACAGCCTGCCTGTGATTCCTGAAGGGAAATAGCCCAGTGTGAACGGGAGATATTTTTGCTTCTCTTTTGCCCAGCTCCATCAAAGAGATGTGGGATCAAGGATAACTATTTATGACTTACCGACCAAAAGACACGGATGAAGGCTTTTGCTGTGTGGCCTGGCTGCTTGGGTTGTGTGTGGAGAAAGGTGGGCTGAGAGACGTGAGAGATAGGGAGAACCGGGCTTGACACATTTCCAAAATGATTCTCTATCCCAGCAAGAAGGGCCTCTACGTCCCGTCCCCTTTTAGAGGGGTTTGCTTTATTCCTCTTTAGAAAGCTCTCCCTCCCATAATGAGGGGCATGCTTGAAGTCAATAGAACATGTCCACCTGGAGAACAGGCCTGAGTTATAGGCTACACTGTGGGAACCCTAGAGCTCTTGCCCCCACAGATCTGAGCCTGTATCTAGGTTGCAGGGTCATCTGGGCAAGGTCAGTCCTTCCAGGAGCATGTTGGTGGCTGCTGTTATATATCCTTGAACACAGTGAATGTCTCATGAATAGCCATTTGATATGCAGCTCAATGATACTGCCTCAATATATACTCAAAGCCCTTTCTAAATGAGATGAAGCCAACCTAGGAAAGGAAGTAGACTGAACGGGAGCCCATGGTGCTTCCGTCACTGACTCATGGGCAGAGTTCACTGCAGTCAAGAATTCTAAATTGAGACCCCCCTCCTAGGTCCTTCTGGAGGGCTGGTTCTGGGGGAAGAAAAACTCAGCATATTGAATTGAATAGTTTAATTAACTTTAAACGTAAATGTTTAAACTCACGGCATATGGATTTTCACTCGTATGCTCCCAAGGCCTCACACATAGAATTAGGTCTGCCTCTCTCTCTCCTCTTTTGTCCCAGTAAACATGTACATCAAATTCCCTAGCTCAGCTGGAGCTACTGCTACAGGCCCCCCGGCCTGTCTGTCCATCTGATCCTCACTGCTGGACTCACAGGGAAGTTAGAATGGACCAGACTTTGGACGCCTGCTGAGCCACACTCACACTAGAATTTGGAAACCAACCAGGTGCAAGGCCCACGTTTGTAGCCCGGCATCGCACGCAATGACCACAGCCGCATTCCTTTTGTCTGTCTGACTTCCCCACCATCTGGATGGTACTGTGCTTGTACTTCCCGCCTTTAATGGCTTTGATTACTAATGTAATTTCTGACTGAATAAAATAGCTGAGTTATAGGGCTGTCATACCACAAATGAGCAGACACAAACGAACATTCACCATGGGCTAGCCACTGCATACCGGTGATTCTCATCTGGCAGCTGCCCAGGAGAGCTGAGTTAGGTGTTGTCTGTCTGCAGGCCCGACAACACAGGGAGCATAGGTGTCTTAGGGTTTCTCTTGCTGCGACAAAACACCATGGCCGAAAAGGAAGTCGGGGAGGAAAGGGTTTACCAGATCATAGACCATCACTGGAGGAAGACAGAACAGAAATTCCAGCAGGGTAGGAACCTGGAGGCAGGGGCTGATGCAGAGGCCCCGGAAGAGAGCTGCTCACTTGGCTTGCTTCCCCTGCCTTGCTCAGCCTGCTTTCTTACAGAACCATGCAGGGCTGATGCAGAGGCCACGGAAGAGAGCTGCTCACTTGGCTTGCTTCCCCTGCCTTGCTCAGCCTGCTTTCTTACAGAACCATGCACCAGCAGCCCAGGAAGGCCATCACCTAACTGCTGGGCCCTCCACTATTGATCTCTAATTAAGAAAATACCTTACAGCTGGATCTCATGGAGGCATTCCCTCAACCGAGGGTGCTTCCTCTCTGTGACGCTAGCTTGGCCAAGTTGACATAAAGCCAGCCAGTACAACAGCTCACAGCCAGTAAGAAAGTTGCTTTTTCTGTTGCTTGGCCCTGAGCTTAACTATGTTTTTGGGTGAGGACATCTGCCAGGGTGTGTAGGTCTCCAGAGTGCTGTGGGATGAAGTCTTCGTGGGGAAGAAATTCAGAAATATCCCTATTAGCACGACGCTCATATTTTGGAGAATAATAAGTTAGAATGCCAGTTCCTTTGAAAGCGATAGCCAACATGTTCAGAATGAAAGCAGAGTTTCTCAAGCCTCTCTTAGGTGACAAAGAGGACAGACACTGTCTGTCTGACCTAGAACGACAAACGGTCATGTACTTCTTTCGACTACTGAAAGATTCAAAGCAAGGGTGGGACATTCACAACTTCATAGGTGGGGTGTTGATTGCCTGGGACTTTATACAGTCTCACTGAAGGTGAAATCCCAGGAATGGTTTCATTCCCAGGTCGAAGCTTTCTGCTTCCACAGGGCTTCAGAGGACCGTGGTCACCACAGAGAAAGTGAGTCAGGGGACAAGGAAATGGAGCCAATACCAAGTATCAAAATTTGAGGTTATGCTAACAAGCAATTAGGTTGGGTGGTTCCACAGAACAGAGATGCAGGGAAAGGAACGGCATCAGCTAAGCTAAGCCTCCCCTATCTTCTGCAGCAGGTGGCTAAACAGCCCACAATTCCCTGAGTTTTCCCAGTGTCATCTTGTTGAGCAGGGTCCCAAACTCACAATGCTTAATGAAAACAGTGTTTTAAAGAAGAACGCCATTGTTGCTGGTAGATATGCAGGGCTGGTTTTCCTTTATTCTTTCATTCCACAAGCATTGTATTGTTACTGCACTATGCTGGGCACCAAGCATACATGACTAAACCAAACAAGACTTAAGACAGCTTTCCTTCCCAGGAA